ATATATACTGTTTTTAGAATTTCGATCTGTAAAATGACCCTTACTTACATTATTTAACAATAAAATTCTAATATTTATAAAATCTAATGCTTATTTTATGCAACGGGTTACCGATTCGATTATTGGCCGATGATCAGTTGGAAAGGGTCAACCGATGCTACCGATTAATCGATTCTGATTTTCAACCGATTTGACAACACTAGTCATTTTATCGCTTGGCTAAATTAGAGCACAGGATCAGACATTGATGCCTTGTCTTTAATATAAAAAAGTGATTTTGTTGGTTTTAGAGTGTAGAATCAGATATTGATGTCTTACATGTGATTGTCTTGGTTGTAGAACACAGGGTCAGACATTGATTCCTCGTTTTCTTCCTCCTTCTGTACGGAGCTGGATGAACAGATGTTGGTTGCCATGGAGACACTGGAGAGGCCTCAAAGGTCACAGAAAGGTCAGCATAAGGGTTATTATGGATTTGTATATAGATAACAGAAATTGTCAATATTGAATATCGAAATGAAATTAATTACTAAAATAAAACTTGACTAATCCAGATGTTGTGTATCCTGAAGTCTTGCTTCATACCATGTTAACTTTTAGTCCACTTAATTCATTTGTTTAAAATGTTGTCTTATCTGAGATATTGTCTAATTTGGCCAATTTCTTTGGAACCAGTGGTACACGGATTAACAACTCTTACTGCATTTAAATGGGCCCCTTGGATTGGGAATTTAACACTTTACAACTTACTGAACTGTTATGCAACATACACTAAATGCCCACGTCATAAAAATAGAACTTTACCATTTCCCCGCAGGCACCTTTTAGTGTGGTACACGTTTCTATAAAGTTTAGCGTAAATAATATTCTGACGTTATATTTTGATGCAAAAATAACTTTTCCGATTTTATGAGATTTTTACAAGTATATAATGAAAGGAAATTGGTATTTAATTAAAGATAAAATGAACTTTTTAAAGTGCGTGAAAATGCGTGATTGCGGGGAAACGGTATATGCGTGATTTTGCGTTAGAAATAGGAAATGGTGCATGCGTTAAAATGCGTGACTGCGGGGAAGGGGGTTAATAGCATTTTATTGCTTATTGGGAAATTTTATTGCATAATGTTTTCAAGAGAAAAACAGTTACGATGAACAGAATGGATCTTTTACTAACTTAACTATTCAAAACTGTAAATTAGAGAATAGATCAATTAATATACCGTAAACATATTACATTTGGCTGTGTATTCTTTTTAGCGGCTTTGGCGGAACGCAGCAACTGCTAAATCAATTACAAAGCTAAATGTCTTGCACATATACAAGTAAATAAAAATCATTATGAAGAAATGTGCTAAATCAACTTTATACTAAATTATTCAAAATTCAATATCCGCCAAATGCCGTACATGCTAAATATAATACATTTTAATTACAGTAATAAAGTTTCTTCAAAGTTTCTTAAAATTTTGTTCATTTCATTCAGATGTCCAAAACCTGGCCATGTTTCTTTTTTACTAGAACTTTGAACAAATTAACTTTGTGAATCCATTTTTGTGAAAAAAGAGTCTTGATGTTGAGAATGAGGCCTATATTTTGCCCGACACAAGGGAAGTGGAAAATCCCTGTTTGAAGTTTTTTTTATTACACTCATTCATGAGAAATTATCATTTATTACTGATTGGATAATTCTGTGTTGACCAGCCTCACATTTCAGACAAAAAGATCAGAGCTGTATACTTATTGGTTAATTCTGTGTTGTCCTCCCATTTCAGCCAATAAGATCAGAGCTGGCCTGACATCAACACCAGGATGTGTGACCCCGTTACCAAGACGACAGTCCCAGCTGATGAAGTCCCTGTTCACCCTCCAGAGTCCCCTAAATGACAGCTTCCTCTCCCCCTTCCCCTCCCAGAACAAAACCTCCAATACAAAGAAAGGGGAGGAAAACCTGACCCCTGCCACTGCAAATAGCTCTGTTAGACTTAGTAGAGGGGGAAAGCCCAACAGAAAGAAACCAAGAAATGTATTAAATGAAATTGTCAATGAAAAAGTAAAGGAAGGTGGAGGGGGTGTAGAGGAAGAGGAGAATATGATTCACCTTGATGTGATAGGTCAAAGGTCAAGGACAGAAGAAAATACTGATGACGTTAGTTCAGAAACACAGGAAAGGGTGGCTGAAAATCAAGAGATGATGGAAAATGCGAATGCTGGTGAGTGTAATGATTTATTCAAAATCTTTGACAATAAATGTGAGCCAAGAGTTGACACTAGTTTTAAGCAAGAAAATTTCTTAGGCCGAAAACGGAAATCAATATTTGATTTTTAGGTCACCTGAGTAAACTCGGGTGACCTGTTGCACTCGGGTGACTCTGGTGTAAGGGGGGGGCTTATTAATTATATAGTGAAAGTGCATGAATTCTTTGAAAATCTTCTTCTCTGCTTCTGGGTATTAAATAAACTTACTAAGTGCATAGTTATAATGAGCAAGAGTGCCTCTACCAAAATTGTGAATTTTATGGCCCCAGGGTCAGGGGTTCTGGTGTTAGGGTGGGGCTCTATTGATTATGTATAGTGAAACTACATGAATTCTTTGAAAATCTTCTTCTCTGCTCCTGGGTATAAAATAAACTAACTAAGTGCATAGTTATGATGTGCAAGAGTGCCTTTACCAAAATTGTGAATTTTATGGCCCCAGGGTCAGGGGTTCTGGTGTTAGGGTGGGGCTCTATTGATTATATAGTGAAACTACATGAATTCTTTGAAAATCTTCTTCTCTGCTCCTAGGTATTAAATAAACTTACTAAGTGCATAGTTATGATGAGCAAGAGTGCCTCTACCAAAATTATGAATTTTATGGCCCCAGGGTCAGGAGTTCTGGTGTTAGGGCTGGGCTCTTTTGATTATATAGTGAAAATACATTAAATCTTTGAAAAATTTCTTCTTTGCTCCTGGGTATTAAGCAGATGAACTACCTATATAGTTATGATGAGCAAGAATGCCTCTTTAAAAATTATAAATTTTATGGCCCCAGGGTCAGGGATTCTGGTGTAAGGGCGGGGCTCTATTGATTATATAGTGCAAATATATGAAATCTTTGATAATTTTCTTCTTTGCTCCTGGTATTAAGCAAATGAACAACCTATATAGTTATGATAATCTTCCAGAATTGTGAATTTCAAGGCCCCAGGGTCAGGGGTTTCATAGACGGGGAGGTGTATGTATATACTGAAAATATGATAATATAATGAATTGTTTGAAACCTGCTCCTTGGTATTAATCAAATATTTTTGAAAAGCAAGAATGCCTGTACAAAAATTGTGCAATTTGTGGATCTAGGTCTAAGGGTCAGGGGTTCATGTGTGGTAGGGACACTACTGATTATTGCTGAATATTACTGATTAGTTGAAATGCATTTTTTGTCCCCCTACCCTGCCTATGGGTATTAAGTAACCAAACTAAGCAACTGTTAAGTGTATAGTTATGATGACCAACGGACTGCTAGCTCTTTCAAAATTGTGAATGCCATAGAATCTGGCTTAAAATATGAATCAAATTCAATGACTGGAAAGTTGTTACATAATGCTCAGGTGACCTATAAGGCCCATGGGCCTCTTGTTTTTATTACTGGTACTATATACAGGTTTTTTTTTGCCCTTTCACAATTGCAACCAATTTTATCCCGTTTTAATTTCGCCAAGTTACATTTGTTTTGTAAAAAGTATACAAGACTAGTGTTCTTTGAATTTGCCCTGTTTTAAATTCACCCACCTGTGAGTGGGGCAAAGGGGTGAAAATAAAATGGGGGCAAAATTTTCCTGTATACAGTATCAAGTTCTAAATACAATAACATAGAATGACAATTGGTGTTTCAGATGTTTAATAAATGAAAGAAACATAGAATATCATGTAGACATGAAAAACTAAATATTTGATGCTAAATGAGTGAAACAAATACAGATTATGTTGACATTGCAAACGTGAAGTATGTAGTTATATATATATTCAATGTCTACATTTCTTTTATACATATGGAGTTTTGACAGAAGACAAGCTGTTATTAAGTAACTGGGGACTTCCTGACCCTGTATTAAAACAGTACACAGATAAGGGGATCACCTCAATGTTTTCCTGGCAAGCAGAATGTCTATGTTTACCCGGGGTATTAGGTGAGTGAGATTGAAATGAATTATGAATATTATTCAACAGAGATACATGTCATCATGGTCATATTGGGTTCTAATGAACTAACAAATATTTATATGCAGAGTTTTACATCTCTGTTGATAAACGCTAACTTTGTTTTGTGTATTATAGAAAGTTATGCCTGGAAAAAAAGTCTGTTTCTGCTCTCGGAATCAATGTTGATTTATAGTGGCGACATTTTTTTTTAAAATGCTTTTTAAGAATATATGAATTTTCAGTTCTTTGTCACTTGCATGAAAATTTCATTCAAACAATACAAATCAGGAGAATCTAAGCAAACACTCAGGAGGGGATCAGGTGCCATGGAGGAGTGAACATTCCTTCTGTGTGTTCCTTGTCATATGTAATTATACATATATCACATGGCTTCGAGGGTGGCATACCAGAATATTTGCCCCGAGGTGACAGGAAAGCCCTGGAGTGTTATGTCACCCGATGCCGAAGGCAGAGGGTGACATAACACTCCAGGGCTTTCCTGTCACCGAGGGGCAAATATTCTGGTATAGTCGCCCCAGAAGCCATGTGGTATATGTTATATGACATTTTTAAATAAAAAGAAAATTTAAAATCATTCAAAATCGTTGAAAATTTCACAAATAATCCAGAAATGCTTTCTTGACGTTAAGAATAACGCTCCGTTGTTTACATTTGCTTAGCAACCGACGTCATAACATTTCGAACCCGAGCTAAAATGCGTAACGTAAAAACACATGAACGTGATCGAAAGGATGATATAACTGTTTCCGTCGGGGGTGACATAACTGTTTCCGGCCGGACATTACTGTTTCCGGTGTGACTCAGCATTTTTCAGGGTTTATAGCGAAACTTATTACATTTGTGATATAATAGGAAAACTTATTCAAAAATGTTATATCAGATATTATTACTCGGCCCTCACTGTCATTATGCAAAGTTATCTAAAATTTCCGTATAATTCTAGGGGGAGGAAACCTGGTATACTCGGCCCCCACTGTTATTCTGCAGAGTTATCTATCTTTTTTATTTCTGTGCAATTCTAGGAGGAGGTAACTTGGTATACTCGGCCCCCACTAGTGCTGGTAAAACAATGGTGGCAGAACTCCTGGTCCTGAAGCGAGTTCTAGAGACAAAGAAGAAAGCCATCTTTATCTTACCTTTTGTGTCTGTGGCCAGAGAAAAGATGTTCTATTTACAGGTAAACTGTTCCTGACATTCATATTGACAGGTAACTAGGTCAGCTGGTAATTTTTTTTTTACAAGAAAGTTATACTGTAGATTCCTTATTTTTTGCCAGTACTTATTATCCCAAAATGGCTATTAGAAGTCAAATCGTGAAAAAAATTAATTTCTGAGAAGACGGTTGATCAAGACATTTTACTCGGAATTAATCAACCAAAAAATTAAATTGTGTACTTTTGTTTTGCTGATGGTGCTTCTCACGAAATTTATGCTGTAAAAAATTCATTGCATAATATGTTTTACGGTGTGACCATTGGGGAGAGTGCAGTCCTATACACAGCTTTGAATCGCTGAACGTCAAACTGCACTAGACACATTGTAGACTGTGACGTCACATGACGTCAGAATTTACGGAGACAGCCAAGTATCTGGTTAAAAAAGATGACAAGTCTTGTTCAGTATTAAATAAAATACGTTGTAGAGTAGATGAAAATATTTTTTGTTACTTTTAAGCTTTGTGCAAATTAAGAAAAGTAAACGTATCTTGGGAAAGAATATTTATTCTTGGTCTCTGGTATGTTTTAAAATTAAAACGGATGGAACATTCAGAGTGAGGGAATTTTGGGAATGTTGCACAGGAAAATTTGGCTGATGTTATTTGGATTTCATTCCAAATTTCCTCTGTTCTTACACGTTAGTCTATAGAGCTCGCTTCGCTGCGCTCGCTTTAAAAACAAATTTACAGTAATTGCTCTATGTGTATGTAGGTCAATATCCTTAAATTCTCCACTAAATCTTTTCATTTTTAGGTCACCTGAGTAAACTCAGGTGACCTATTGCTATCACTTTTCGTCCGTCGTCGTTCGTCGTTCGTCGTGCGTCGTGCGTTAACATTTGAACATTTTCAGCTTCTTCTCTGAAACCACTGAACCAATTTCAACCAAATTTGGCATATAGCATCTATGGGTGAAGGGGAACAAAAATTGTGAATTTCATGGGCCCTGCCCCCCTGGGGCCTGGGGGGTGGGGCAAAAACTACTAAAATTAGTGCAATCTTTAAAAATCTTCTTCTTTACTCCTGGACATCAAGCAGTCAAACTGTTGGCATGATTGTAATCAGCATTGAGTCCTCTACCAAAATTGTGAAATTCATGGCCCCAGGGTCAGGGGTTCTGGTGTTAGGGTGGGGCTAAATAAGTATATAGTGAAATTTCATGAATTCTTTGAAAATCTTCTTCTCTGCTCCTGGGTATTAAATAAACTAACTAAGTGCATAGTTATGATGAGCAAGAGTGCCTCTACCAAAATTGTGAATTTTATGGCTCCAGGGTCAGGGGTTCTGGTGTTAGGGTGGGGCTCTATAGATTATATAGTGAAAATACATAAATTCTTTGAAAATCTTCTTCTCTGCTCCTGGGTATTAAATAAACTAACTAAGTGCATAATTATGATGACAAGAGTTCTCAACCAAAATTGTGAATTTTATGGCCTCAGGGTCAGGGGTTCTGGTGTTAGGGTGGGGCTTATAGATTATATAGTGAAAATACATAAATTCTTTGAAAATCTTCTTCTCTGCTCCTGGGTATTAAATAAACTAACTAAGTGCATAATTATGATGAGCAAGAGTGTCTCAACCAAAATTGTGAATTTTATGGCCCCAGGGTCAGGGGTTCTGGTGTTAGGGCGGGGCTCTATAGATTATATAGTGAAAATACATAAATTCTTTGAAAATCTTCTTCTCTGCTCCTGGGTATTAAATAAACTAACTAAGTGCATAATTATGATGAGCAAGAGTGTCTCAACCAAAATTGTGAATTTTATGGCCCCAGGGTCAGAGGTTCTGGTGTTAGGGTGGGGCTCTATAGATTATATAGTGAAATTTCATGAATTCTTTGAAAATCTTCTTCTCTGCTCCTGGGTATTAAATAAACTAACTAAGTGCATAGTTATGATGAGCAAGAGTGCCTCTACCAAAATTGTGAATTTTATGGCCCCAGGGTCAGGGGTTCTGGTGTAAGGGGGGGGGGGGGGCTCTTTAGATTACATAGAACACAATCCAAAACAAAAAGGGAAAATCAAAATTCCCTTTTTTTCACCCAAGGTTTACAATCTGAAGTCATTTTGGTCAAAAAATCCTTATATGTGTCTCCACAAGTTCCTTTTTTAAAGATTTTTCTTAAGTATTTGAGGAACGTTCCTCTTTATACACTTTAGATGCATTTGTTATGACCAGAGATTTGAGGAACGTTCCTCTTTCTACACTTCTGGTGCATTTGTTATCACCCGAAACATTTGAGGAACGTTCCTCTCTTTCTCTATCTCTCTCTCTGAACTTCAGATTCATTAAGTATGACCAGACATTTGAGGAACGTTCCTCTCTCTGAACTTCAGATGCATTTGTTATGACCAGACATTTGAGGAACGTTCCTCTCTCTAAACTAAGATGAAGTTATTATCACCAGACATTTGAGTAACGTTCCTCTCTTACATGTGCACATACAGCGTGTATTTTTAAATACTTTAAGAATCTTGAGACATTTGAGGAGCGTTCCTCTCTCAAATTCACTTTTTCTGAAGACATCTCATGAATGGTCAAACATCAGGCATTTGAGGAACGTTCCTCGCTCGAATTTAATTATTACTGTAGGCATCTCAAGGATTGTTAATTATCAGGCATTTGAGGAACGTTCCTCTCACAAATGGTTGTCTCATGAATTGTCAAACATTAGGCATTTCAGGAACGTTCCTCACTAAAATTTAAAATTGTTCACACAGGATACTTACAAAG